ACCCAACTCGCAGGCCCTGCTAGCCCAGCCCTGAGTTCCCTCCCTCCCGACCCGGAGCTCCTGCTAACCCAGCCTTGCCCGCCCCCACCCGGCCTGGGCTCCCTCCCTCCCGACACGCAGCCCCTGCTAGCCCAGCCCTGGGTTCCCTCCCTCCCGACCCCACAGCCCCTGCTAGCGCAGCCCTCGCCCCCTCCCAGCCCGGCCTGTGCCCCTCCCTCCTGACCTGCAGCCCCTGCTAGCCCAGCCCTGGGCTCCCTCCCTCCTGACCCGCAGCCCCTTCTAGCCCAGCCCTGGGCTCTCCCACAGCTCTGCTGGTGCCCCTCACTCCTGGCCCCCAGATATTCCAGCAGTGAGCTCCGCCCACCCCAGCTCTGCCGGTGCCCCCAATCCTGACCTACAATCTCCCTTGTTATCCCAAACTTGGCCTCCTCCCACACATTCACAGCTCTGCTGATTCCCACCTGCAGCCGCCCCTGCTATTCCATAGGGCTCTCCTGAGTGTGGATGGTTTTGCCTGAGGGATGCACCCCCCTGCAGGGCTATCTGAGCACCCGCTGGTCTTTCTGTCCTACCAGTTCAACACCCCCCTGGCCACGGAGAAGATGGCTGAGTGGCAGAGGGAAGCGTCCCACATGGAAAAGTCCTTGCCTGCCAATCACCCCATCCTGCAGGCCTGTGTGCACATGATCACTAGTTTCCAGCAGTTTCTGCCCCTGCTTCAGAAGCTGACCAGCCCACTCATGAAGAATAGCTGCTGGAGGGAGTTCTTCACGGGTGAGCCCTGCAGGGAGCGATGGGAGGGGAAATCCATAGCGGAGGGGGACAGTTCTGTGTAGACTCGTATCCCTGGGCCCTGCATTCGGCTCCGGCACCTTCAGGCCCAGAAAGGCCTTGACAAAGTGGAGGGAGGTCCAGGCAGCCCCAGCAGGGCTGGAGAGGCAGAGCTGTGGGAGAAATGGAAGGAGCCATATGTGCCGTGCTGGCTCTGAGAGGGGCGAGGGACGATCAGTCTGGGGAGAGCGCCTGGGGTTTATGGTACAGTAACCTGGACATGAGGGAACTTGGTTCAAGCATGGCCCAGCAAGTGAAAGGGTCTGTCCTGCTGGAGCAGTATCAGTGCCTGGAGCATGGCTTCATGCACCAGAGCTTGGCAGGCCAAGGCGACCCAATGGCAGGTCTGGGGGGCATAGGGACCTGGGCTGATGTAAAAGACTGTTGGCTCTTTGCCTCAGTTCTGCACGACATGCTGAGTAAAAATTGGCACTATACCAAATCCGTGTGGCCCAAATGGATTAAAAGCTGGCTACCGGAGAGAGCCCAGAAGGTAATCAGGAATGGGGACGCATTGTCTCATGATGATGAGAAGGATGGTCCGGTGGTCAGGGCACCAGCCAGAGACTTGGGGTCAGTTCCCTACTCTGCCATGGATTTTTGTGTGACCTTGGGCAAGTCACTTAGCTTCTCTGGGTCTTGGTCCCATCTGTACAGTGGGGATAGCCCTGCCCCCCCCAGGGTGGGGTGAGGTAAAGTGTTTTGAGATGGATTGATGAAAAGTGCTGTGTCAGAGCTGGGGCATTGATATGTCAGGGAGGGGGTGACGTTCTGAGTGTGATATAATATCTCATTGAAAGGTGACAGGGCCAGAAAGAGTTAATTAACTCACCAACTGACCTGACCCATGGCCGAACTTTAGAGACTGATTAGGAAGATCTGTAAATGAACAGAGCTTTGAAATGCAGCCAGCATTGTTAGAGGTAGAAGGGGAGGTGTTTGCTCAGGTCTTGTGATGTAAGCAAACAAGTCTTGTCTATTGCTATAACTTTAATTCAAAGATCAAAAAAGGAATATTAACATTTATGATGATACTTGAGTGAAATAGTATTATTGTCTATATGTCTCTTTGAAGGTTGTGGTAACCTGTATCTGAACTGTTTAATGGATAAATTACCCTACGCTAATTGCCAGGATGTTTAGGAGAAGGAAAGTTAAGCCTAATGTTTTCTCAGGGCAAAAGGCTGCTGGAAATGTATAAGAACCCTGGGACATGATCCTACTTCATCTCAGATCTGCTTTGGGTTTTAAGAGGGAGAAACCTTAAGCCACAAGGATTGAGATCCCCAGTCACTGACTGGAGTCACCCTGAACATGGACATTGGACTATAACCTCTGGACTATTTCTAAAAGGACTTTTGGCAACTACAAGCTCACCTCTGCTATGTATCTGAACCTCAAGAATTGAATTCAAGTCTGTCTCTATATTGATCTTTTAACCAACACTTGTGGAGTGAGCCACGGAGCAGCTCCCCCAGGGATGGGGCAGGTTCCCCATCGCTGGGATTTGGAGAGGCTCTTTCTAAAAGCCTGGCTCTGGCTCAGCCGTTAGGTACCCGCTGGACACAAGAGTCAGGAGCTAATGGTCCCTTCAGGCCTTGAAATCTATGAAGACATCTGGGGCCTGGAACCCCCAGCTTTGCCTGTACCTGCTGGAGCCCAGGACCCTGCAGCCTCTGCGAGAGGATCTGGGCACTGGGGTGCTGACAGTAACCCCTTGTGTTCTCTTGCAGCAATGGGAGTGAAGTGCCCTGTCAACCTGCAGTTCACGCTGGGCCAGCTGCTGTCCTACCCGCTACTGGAGCACAGCGACACCATCCTCAAGGTGAGCGAGGCCCATGCTGCCCCATGCTGCCCTGGGGGCCAAACGGCTATGGGGGGGATGCTGGCACCCATCACTGCAGGACTGGATCCATGGGCAGGCGCAGTGTGCAGTGTGACTCTCGATGGTGGGAGGTCAGGATCAGAGACAGCCTGGGTTCGGCATGGGCAGTTGGGCTCCATATGGGGCGCCCCAGCCTAGAAACTCTATGGAGAGTAATTCCATGCTCTAATAATAAGAATAACGCAGTAGGGATATATTACCATCCAGCTGACCAGGATGGCAATAGTGACTGTGAAATGCTCAGGGAGATTAGAGAGGCTATTAAAATAAAAAACTCAATAATAATAATGGGGGATGTCAACTATGCCCATATTGACTGGGTACATGTCACCTCAGCACGGGATGCAGAGATAACGTTTCTTGCCACCTTAAATGACTGCTTCTTGGAGCAGCTGGTCCTGGAACTCACCAGAGGAGGGGGAATTCTCGATTTAGTCCTATGTGGAGCACAGGATCTGGTCCAAGAGGTGAATATAGCTGGACTGCTTGGTAATAGTGACCATAATATAATGAAATTTAACATCCCTGTGGCAGGTAAAACACCACAGCAGCTCAACACTGTAGCATTTAATTTCAGAAAGGGGAACTACACAAAAATGAGCAGGTTAATTAAACAGAAATTAAAAGGTACAGCGCCAAAAGTGAAATCCCTGCAAGCTGCATAGAAACTTTTTAAAGACACCATAATAGAGGCTCAGCTTAAATGTATCCCCCAAATTAAAAAACACAGTAAAAGAACCCAAAAAGTTCCACCGTGGCTAAACAACAAAGTAAAAGAAGCAGTGAGAGACAAAAGGCATCCTTTAAATAGTGGAAGTTAAATCCTAGTGAGGAAAATAGAAAGAAGCATAAACTCTGGCAAATGAAGTGTAAAAATATAATTAGGACGGCCAAAAAAGAATGTGAAGAACAACTAGCCAAAGACTCAAAAAGTAACAGCAAAATGTTTTTTAAGTACATCAGAATCAGGAAGCTGCTAAACAACCAGTGGGGCCCCTGGACGATCAAGATGGTAAACAGCGACTAAGAGTCCTGTGGCACCTTATAGACTAACAGACGTATTGGAGCATAAGCTTTCGTGGGTGAATACCCACTTTGTCAGACGTAGGAAAGCTTATGCTCCAATACGTCTGTTAGTCTATAAGGTGCCACCAGACTCTCTGTTGCTGTTTACAGATCCAGACTAACACGGCTACCCCTCTGATACAAGATGGTAAAGGAGCACTCAAGGACGATAAGGCCATTGCAGAGAAACTAAATTAATTCTTTGCATCGGTCTTCACGGTTAAGGATGTTAGAGAGATTCTCAAACCTGAGCCATCCTTTTTAGGTGACAAATCTGCGGAACTGTCTCAGATTGAAGTATTATTAGAGGAGGTTTTGGAACAAATTGATAAACTAAACAGTAATAAGTCACCAGGACCAGATGGGATTCACCCAAGAGTTCTGAAGGAACTCAGATGTGAAATTGCAGAACTACTAACTGTGGTAGGTAACCTATTGCTTAAATCAGCTTCTGCACCAAATGACTGGAGGATAGCTAACGTGATGCCAATTTTTAAAAAGGGATCCAGAGGTGATCCGGCAATTACAGGCCAGTAAGTCTGACTTTAGTACTGGGCAAACTGGTTGAAACTAAAGTAAAGAACAGAATTGTCACATATAAATGAACATAATTTGTTGGGGAAAAGTCAACATGGTTTTTGTAAAGGGAAATCATGATTCACCAATCTACTAGAATTCTTTGAGGGGAAAACAAGCATGTGGACAAGGGGGATCCAGTGGATATAGTGTACTTAGATTTTCAGAAAGCCTTTGACAAGGTCCCTCACCAAAGGCTCTTAAGCAAAGTAAGCTGTCATGAGATAAGAGAGAAGGTTCTCTCATGGATTGGTAACTGGTTAAAAGACAGGAAACAGAGGGTAGGAATAAATGGTCAGTTCTTCTTCGAGTGCTTGCTCATATCAATTCCAATTAGAATCCTAATTGGAATGGATATGAGCAACACATCTTGAAGAACAACAGTTACAAAGGTGAGTAACCGTCTTTTTTCAGAATGGAGAGAGGTAAATAATGGTGTCCCCCAGGGGTCTGTACGGGGACCAGTCCTATTCAACGTATTCATAAATATGGTGTCTGTCTTTGCCTGGGTCCTTGCCCTTGACCAGAAGGATCAGTGAGAACACCACCTGCACCCAGAGCCCTGTAGTCACTCCTGATCTGCTCAGGGTCAGACCTCACAGTATCGTTAGTGCCCACGTGGAGGAGCAGCATGGGGTAGTAGTCACAGGGCCGGATGATCCTCGACAATCCCTCCGTCTCAGATACGGCCCCTGGCAGGCAGCACCTTCCGGGATGCCATGTCAGGTGTGCAGACAAATGCGTCTGTTCCCCTTAAAAGGGAGTCACCGACCACCCCCACCCTCCGTTTCCTCTTGGGGGGGTGGCCACAATCCTTGCAGCCGTGGGGGTACATGGCTTCTCCTCCTCCACCTTTGGGGGCAATTCCTCATCCCCCATTGCCAGGGCAGCATACTGGTTTGTTATCTTGTGGAGGGGGTTGGGAGCACTGCCTGCTGCCACAAGTAGCCAGCAGCCAGCTTCCTCCGTGTGCAGGCGCCGTTTCCTCCTGCCCTCGTGGCACTCCTACAGTGCTCTCCAGCCACATTGCTTCCTCAGCCTTGGCGGTCCCAATATGCACATTTTCAATTAATTCCTCCTGGGCACCGATGCTCCTCAGCCTAGCCACCTCCTCCTGCAGCTCTCCCGCCTGCTTCCTGAGAGATTCCACCAGCAGGCACCTCTCACACTGGACGGTCCCCCCAGCCTGGCTTTCTGTGATGGGGAAACGGCGGGCATTCTCTGCAGATCCACCCTGGGGTCTGGGCAGAGGCCTCCCTGGGCAGGTTCCCTGGCTCGACACAGGCGTTGGTGGAGGAGACAGGAGCAGTGTTAGCTTTGGTGACGTGGCCTTTTTGAACCATGGTGATCTTGCTCTTTCTCCCTCCTATAGACTCCCTCTCCGATTCCCCTGTTTGCTGCCTGCTGGTTGCTTAGCCTCTGTCTTTTAAGCCCTTCTCTCCTAGGTCAGCCCTGCCCCCCTCTTAACACCTGGGGGAAGGGCGTTTGAGGATCAAAGGACAAGAGACTGGAGCCTTGCTAGTGCCCACTCAGCTAGCAGCTAGTCAGCCCCTGGCCCCCAATCCCACACTGTCCCCAAATACCCAGTCCCCAACAGACCATGCTGCGAGCTTTAAGCAAGCCACAAACAAGATCACTCACCCCAAAAATGAGTGCTCGTGTCTTCTTCAGCACAGGCTTTCCCTCTCGCCCTCTCAAACTGCCCTGTCTGTTAGGCCAATTCAGACTAGAAACAAGGTGTGTGTTTCTAACCGTGAGGGTAACTAGCCACTGGGTCGCGATGGAGTCTCCATCCCCGGCCATTGGATGTTTCCCTGAAAACTCAGCTCTAGGACTGATTTTGGGGAAGATCTGCAGGCTGCTATACAGAAGGTCAGATTAGATGGTGACAATGGTACCTTCTGGCGTTGGACTCCAGGGGTAGGTCTTGTGACAATGAGGTTCTGGCGGGACCCAACTCAGAGTGCCAATTCAGGACAAATTGCTAAAACAGGGCAGTTACAGCCCAAGGCTGGGGTTTCTCCACCTCTAAGGCAAACCAAACCAGCCAGACAAAGAGGACTTTGGTTTCACCCCACTGGCTAACCACAAGTCGCACAAACAATTCCCTTAGACACTCCAGTTTTCCAGTATCACCACCAGTGCCACTCGTTATGGGGACAAATGGTTATGAAAACCAATATCCCAATATACACAAAAAGGTTCTCTCGATCCCAAAGGACCAAGCCCCAGACCCAGTTCAATATACAACTCAGAGCTTTCCCACAAATCACGCTGTTGCCAATCCCTTAGAATCTAAAATCTAAAGGTTTATTCATAAAAGGAAAAAGATAGAGATGAGAGTTAGAATTGGTTAAATGGAATCAATGACATACAGTAATGGCAAAGTTCTTGATTCAGGCTTGCAGCAGCGATAGAATAAACTGCAGGTTCAAATCAAGTCTCTGAAATACATCCCCTGCTGGGATGGGTCCTCAGTCCTTTGTTCAGAGCTTCAGTTTGTAGCAAAGTCCCTCCAGAGGTAAGAAGCAGGATTGAAGACAAAATGGAGATGAGGCATCAGCTTTATATAGTCTTTTCCAGGTGTAAGAACACCTCTTTGTTCTTACTGTGGAAAATTACAGCAAAATGGAGTCTGGAGTTACATGGGCCAGTTCCTGCATACTTTGCTGAGTCTGAAGGCATATTTGCCTTCTCTTAATGGGTCCATTGTATAGCTGATGGTCCTTAATGGGCCATCAAGCAGGCTAGGCAGAGCTAATTCCAGTTTGTCTGGGATGTCACCCAGAAGCACAGCATAAGTTTGCCATACAGACAGTATAGAGCCAATATTCATAACTTCAACTACATCACTGATACACACATATAGACAGCATAATCATAACCAGTAAACCATAACCTTGTCTTAGACACCCCATTTGACCCCCTTTATACAAGATTTGGGTGCCACTACAGGACCTTGGTTGCAACAATGATCTATATGGTCCCAGTTTATGTCAATAACGTCACAGGTCTACACTGCAATGTAAGCCTGGGTTACTGGAACTTGAGTTAGCAGCCCTGGGTTTGTTGACCTAGGGCTTGGGCGTCTACTCTTATTGGTAACTCCAGGTTAGGAGCTGTTGAACCCAGGGGCTCCAGCGTCCATGCTGCATCACGGGGGCCTGATTCCTGGCACCCTTCCAAAAGGCAGCTGCTCCAGCCTTTGTTCATGGTGCAGTGTAGGGAAACTTGGCTGTCCAGAGGACAAAGAAAGTCAGCCCATGGGATTGTGGGATACTTTTGGCAGACTCCCAGAGCCTGAGTCTAGTGGGGGTATGTCTACACGGCAGAGCAATAGGGTTTGAGCCCTGGGTCCTATCTTGACTCAGGCTTGAACTTGCCACCCCATTGGGTCCTGGGATACCTCAGAAATCAAAGTAAATTTGCAGTCTGAGTTGTATAAACTAGACAGGATTTGACTCAAGCAGTGTCTCACCCTGAGGGGTGGTACAAAGAGGTCACAGATCTTGGATACACAGGCTAGAACTGGCTTCCTGCCCGGGACCACCCTCGCCGGTTCAGTCTTTGTCCTCCAGAGGTGTTGTCAGGTGTTGAGTTGTGGTGGGGGAGTGAGGCCCAGTCATGATGCCACTTTATAATTTCCAGCTTGCTGGAAAGATCTTTTGCTCTGACGTGGGTCAAGCCATTGTCTACGAGCTCTCTCTGAGAGAGAGAGCTTTAACTGAAAACCACTCAGCAGGTACTCCTGTCTCCAGCACCCAGACACCCAGCTCCCAGTGGGATCCAAACCCCAAATAAATCTGTTTTACTCTGTATAAAGTTTATACAGGGTAAACTCATAAATTGTCTGCCCTCTATAACACTGATAGAGAGAGATGCACAACTGTTTGCTCCCCCAGGTATTAATCACTTACTCTGGGTTCAGTAATAAACAAAAGTGATTTTATTAAGAATAAAAAGTAGGATTTAAGTGGTTCCAAGTAATAATAGACAGAACAAAGTAAGTCATCAAGTAAAATAAAGCAAAAACATGCAAGTCTAAGCCTAATACATTAAGAAACTGAAGACAGGTAAATCTCACCCTCAGAGATGTTCCAATAAGTTTCTTTCACAGATTAGGCTCCTTCTTAGTCTGGGCACAATCCTTTCCCCGGTACAGTTCTTGTTAGTTCCAGCTCAGGTGGTAGCTAGGGGATTTCTCATGACTGCAGCCCCTTATGTTCTGTTCCACCCCCTTTTATACCTTTGTCACAAGGCGGGAATCCTTTGTCTCTCTCTGGGTTCCCACCCTTCCTTCTAAATGGAAAAGCACCAGGTTTAAGATGGATCCCGTTAGCAGTTGACATGCTCACATGTCCTGTGAGTCCCCAAGCCTCCATTCTTTCCGGCCTGACTCACACGAACACAGGAAGGCTTAAAAGTAATCAGAGCCATTTTTCTAGCTTCAGATACAAGAATGATACATTCATGCAAATAGGATTAACACACTCAGTACATTATAAGCTTTGTAATGATACCTTACAGGAGACCTTTTGTATAAAGTATATTCCAGTTACATTATATTCACATTCCAAGCATATTTTCATAAAGCATATGGAGTGCAACGTCACATCCATTGTCTACGAGCTCTCTCCAAGCGGTCTCCCTTCTCTGCGAGCTCTCTCTGAGAGGTCTCCATTGTATACTGTTCCTGAGATAGTGGATTCTTTCCTTGATGGGCCATCAGCATTTTTGGCTCCTCCATTTTTGTACTTGAAAGGCTGGTTGTGGGTGTTCCCAACCTCACAACATATTTCAGTAACACACTGTCACAGAGTGTGGGGGAGTCAGGGCCCCGCACCCCCCACTTCCTGCAATTCACCGTGACTCTCAGCCAGTAAAACAGAAGGTTTATTAGATGACAGGAACACAGTCCCAAGCATGGCTTGTAGATACAATCAAGACCCCTCAGCCAGGTCCCTCTGGGGGGCAAGGATCTTAGACCCCAGACTTGGGGTTCCCTGCCTCTTCCCAGCCAGCCCAAGACTGAAACCAAAAAACCCCTCCCGCAGGCTCTCTCCCCTCCTTCCCTCCCCCTCTCCCTTTGTGCAGTTTCCCGGGCCAAGGTGTTGACTCACTCCACCCCCCTTCCTGGCTCAGGTTACAGGCTCAGGTACCGTCCCTCACCTAAAGTCATCCCCTGCTCTCACCTAAAGTCATCCCCTGCTCTCCCATCCCCCATGCAGACAGTCCAGTAAAACTAACTGACATTCCCAGGTCAATCCACCCCGCTCCCTACTGCGTCAAACACACACATAGCAAAACTTCATCACTTTCCATACAGTGACAGCACATACAATCCGACAGGACATTAATATTCAACAGATCAAGACTTTTAAAATGATACCTCACAAGGCATCCTTTGTACCAAGCGTACTTGAACTATATGACAGGGGTGAATATAGGGGGATTCCAGGGAGCTGCTTTGAGGTACAGAGTCCCACAGGGGGCATGGAGGAATGTTCGGGGGGAGGAGGGGTGAGTGGCGACCCCTGGCAGCTCAGGCCAACTCTGCACAGCGAGGATCAGGGAGGAACACCACCTCCACCCCCAACTCACAGCAGCAGGCGACCCAGCGTGCGGGTATGACGTTATTGATATAATCTGGGACCATATAGATCATTGTTGCAACCAAGGTCCTGTAGTGGCACCCAAATCTTGTATAAAGGGGGTCAAATGGGGTGTCTAAGACAAGGCTATGGTTTACTGGTTATGATTATGCTGTCTATACGTGTGTATCAATTTTGTAGTTGAAGTTATGCATATTGGCTCTATACTGTCTGTATTTCAAACTTATGCTATGCTGCTGGGTGACATCCCAGACAAACTGGTGTTAGCTCTGCCTAGCCTGCTTGATGGCCCATTAAGGACAATCAGCTATACAATGGACCCATTGAGAGAAGGCAGATACGCCTTGTAGCCCAGCAAAGTATGCAAGG